GGTCCTCCGACCTGTCTTACACGGCCGAGCTAGGTTTGCTGACCAGGCATGGTCTAAGGCCAGGCCGAGCTGTTGTTGTTAGGTGTTCGGCGGTAGGGCGCGTTAGTACGGCGCGACCGAGCAGATGGCAGTCTGGAAAGAGTCTAGGTCGGGAAGAGGTCGGCGTGCGCCCGACCGAATAGCTCGGAAGCTCGGTCATGTTCTTTGTGGTTGTGATTTTCTCCGCAGGAATAGGCCGGTCTTGGTATGCCGGTCAGGTGTGTCACTTGAGCCAATGACGTGAGGGAGAGGATATCTGCTCCAGGCACGCGTCAGTACCATTTGGCAGTTTTGCATGTACTGAATAGAGGATCTGGCCTTTACACGTGTAAGGTGGTGGGAGGCGAGCACAGCCAACTGTCCAAGGAAGGATAGCAGAGGTAGTGCGTGCACAATCCTGAGGCGGCATGGCTAGCCTAGAAAAAGGAAGGGGGGATGAACGTTAGAGGTAAGCAACTTGCGCTATCCAAAACACACACTCTCTCTCTCTAACGGCCTTCTTTTTCTTCTTCAAGTGATCTGACTTGATCGTCGGAGGGTCTATCTGGCACACCACCGCCGGGCAGCTCACCGTTCTCTGTGTTGCCAGGTTAGGCGCCGTCACGTGAAGCTTGGACTCCAAGGAGTACGGAAAGCAGAGGATATTTTGTCCCCGTACAGTTACTATATGTGGACTTCACACCAGTGAATCATATACCTTTGTCTTATATTTATATCTCATTTTATGAAATTCCTCAATACTTTCTCTCACATCTCTTTGTCATTATAAAAAAATTGGCTATTCACGACTTTACGTTTACGGCATGCATTTAATTCGTGTCGTAGTTAATGTATTCTATGACAATTTTTTTTGTAAGTCATTAATGTTTTATCTTTAACGACATACATATCATATAAGTTGTTGATTTATATATTTATAGCATGTAAAAATATGTCATAAAAATTTTATGCTTGTAAGATCTACAAAAATTTGCCATGAGATATTTGCACTTAAGACGGTATGCATTTCGCGTCGTGATATATCGTAATTTTATACATGTATTAGCATATCATGAAAATTTTTATTGAAAAATTCAAATTTAACGCCAAATAATGAAAAGCTCATATCCAAAAAGAATAAAAAGGTGCTATTATTTTTATATTCAAAATAAAAATAATAGTCAGTTTGTTTGGTTTTGGTTTTCAGAAAACACATTTCAAAAAATTTTACTTTTTTTGTTTTCCATATTTTTTTTCAATGAATTTTTTTAATATTTTAAGAAATTTTTTTTTTTTAAAATTTTTGAGATACATCTAACATAAATAAACTTAAAAAGTATAATATTCGTGAAAAAATCTTTAAAAACTTCACTAAATACCAAAAATATAATAAAAAAATACTAAAATTCAGTACATTTTTCATATTTTTTTGTGTATTTATTAATTTTTTAGAATATTTTTTCACAAATATTTTACTATTTAGATACATCTAAGTAAAGTGTATATAAAAAAGTTAAAACATTTCTTAAAATTTTAAATATATTCACTAAAAACAAAAAAATATGAAAAATAAAAGATTCAATTTTTAGAAAACTGAATTTTTTCACAAATATTATTTTTTAATAGAAACAAAAAACATAAAATATAAAAATAAAAGCTAATTTTTAAAAAGAGGATATATTACATTTTAGGAAGATTGATCAATAAGTCATATATTTTAAACTTGTAATCCATATAGTCCCACATTTTTTCTTGTGATCCATTTAGTTCTTTTTTATGTATAATGACTCATTTATCCACCACATTGGAGTAGCCTTGTAGTTGAAACACACTCCTTAATCCAACTGGACCATTTAGATCCAAACCGAAGCTTAGATAACATAGAGAATAAGTAGCTCCAATTAATGGAGTCATATGCCTTTTCAAAATCTATTTTTAAAACCACTCCCTTCTTCTTTGTTGCCTTCCACCCATCAACAATCTCATTAGTAATTAACACACCATCTAGTATATTCTTTCCACTCAAGAATGCTAACTGTGTTTCACTGATTATGTGAGGCAGTACTGCTTTCAACCTATTTTCCAATAGTTGGCTAGGACCTTATAAATTGACCTCACCAAACTTATAGGCCTATAATCAGATAGCCCTATTGGCTTTTCCTTCTTAGGTATAAGAGTTATGAATGAGCTATTGATCCCCTTCACCAATCTTCCATGCCTATGAAATTCCTTTACAAAGTTTAACACCTCACCCTTTATTATTTTCCAAAACTTTTGAAAACATAACATATTAAAACCATCTGGCACAGGTGCTTTATTTCCATCGCATTCCTTCACTACTGCTCTTATTTCAGCTTTTGTGAACTCTACTTCCAACACACCAAACTCCATGGTTCTTGCCACTGATTTAAAAGACCCTCCTAATTGAGGTCTTGATGCCCAATGTTCAGAATACTGGATAATGAAATGCTCAAGTACTTTAGCCTTCACATGACAAGGATCCTCAAACACCACCTCCCCCACTGTAATAGAGCTAATTTCATTTCTTGCTTGTCTACGTTTTGTCATTACATGGAAAAAAAACTTGTATTTCTATCACCTTTCATTGCCCAGTTAAGTCTTGATTTTTGGAGCCACATCCATTCCACCATTCTACTCAATCTCCACACCTCTTCTCTAACTTCTCTCCTTTTTGCTTTTTCTGAGTCATTAAGGTCTCTATCCTCAGCCAGAAGATCAAATGGATGCAAATCTGCCTCTGCTATCTTCAATTTGTTGATCACATTCCCAAATATCTCCACATTCCACTTCTTTAGACCTAATTTCAGAGTCTTCAACTTATTATGTAATACATACCCAACCCAACCTACTACATTAGCCTCTTTCCAATTATTTTCCACAAAAGCTTGAAAGTCTCTATGTAAAAACCATGCATTTAGAACCCTAAATGGTCTAGGACCCCAGTCCCTCTCATCCTCCATTAGCAGTAAAGGACAATGATCCGAGACTACTCTAGGTAATCCCCATAGTTTTAAATTAAACACTTCAAGCCATCTTGGATCAACTAAGACCCTATCAATTTTACTCCACCTTTCCCCATCTGCTGATATGCACTAAGTAAACTTTCTTCCCAACAGTGGTAAATCAGACACCGTATATTCATCTATAAACTCATTCAAATCTTTCATACTCCTATCTCTTCTAGAACACCCCTTCTTTTCATCAATATTCCTAATCTCATTAAAATCCCCAGCTATGCACCAAGGCTTAGGGAACTCCTCTTTTAAGTTTACCAGTCTATCCCAAAATTCTCCTCTTGTACCCACTTCATTAGGTGCATAAATATTTAACAAAGTACAATCAATTGAATTGAAAAAGGTACTTGAGATAATGATAAACCTTCTATTACTGTAGCATTCTGACATTTGGAAGATATCTAAATCCTAGATGCATAAGAGACCTCCTGTTGAACCTTTTGCATCCACAGCCATAAACTCCATTTTGTCCCTTGCCCACAATGTTTTGACTTCAGCCTCTAAGATTTGTGACTTTTTTGTTTCTTGAAACATTGCAACATCCACCTTTCTTTCCTTCAATAACTTCCTAATTTTACCTTGCTTTTCCTTCCTGCCCATTCCTCTGACATTTTATGATAAAAGCTTTATCACAACATTATATTACTCCATTGTATCACCCTAATTAAAGAATCCTAAGCCCTTGTTCTGTTTCCCCCTTCCAATCTTTCCATAGCCTTCATTTCTAGCTCCACAATCTTGGTCAGCACTTCAGCTTCTTTCCCATTGTACTCTAGTCCCAAAATTTTCCCCATTTTTAGAGTTGCTTGAGCTTCATTCAAAACATACCTCCCTTTATCCCTCTCATTTTCAATCGATGCTGATAGAGAGATTGCTGCCACTACTGCTCTCCAAATTGCTGTCTTTGGAGCTGATATACTTGCTGAAGCCCCTTTCAACCATACCTCTTAGCTAAGTCAAAGTAGCCCTTCTTTGCCCACTGGTGATTGTATTTCCTTCTGCTACTTAACTTCATCTTTCATTTCTTCTTGCTTTCAGGTCTACTACTGGGCACTTAATCATAAGCTTTAGACATACTTGAGTTTCTAATAACTGGTCCTACTGCCCCATTCTTTACAGTTGTATTAGTAACTTGTATTGTAGGCCCATTATGGACATATTACAACCCATGTTCTTGTCTTGATAATTGATTTTGGCCTAATACCACTTCAATATTCACACTAGGCCTAAACAGATTCGATCCACTCAAATTTCTAACATAACTAGGCATGAGTAGTTGGCCATTAATTCTCTATCTCCCACCAGCTTCATCTATTGAGCTGTTTCTTTGGTTTCTCGCCTTCATCGTGATGTTACATTCCTCTCTATTGGCTTCTTTTCCCACACCACTTCTTGACTCTGTAACTTCATTCTCACTCCTCCAGCTCACCTCCTTCTCCATTTTCTCACTCCTACTTTGTCTACCTAGCCTATGATCTTGTGCCACATTAGACAGATGTTCCAGTTCAAGGCCTGACTTATCCTCCATGTCATCATCTTCTTCCTCTTCACTGCTGCTCCATTCCATCTCTTGTCTTTTCAGCGCATTGGAATTGCAATTCTCTTCCATATCTTGATGCTTATTACACCCAAACTTTCTTATCACTGTTTTTACCATTACCAACTACTCCGCACATATACGCACAGGATGTAGTGAACCACTGTTTTCCAGATGAACGGCCCTATTAATTGGTTCCATACATCTGGTGGAGATCTTCATTTAGCACACACAAATGACTCTGGCTGGTTTGTATCACCATCGAAGCCTATATCTTGTCCCTACAATCCACCAATCCTTTTAAGATTTGTGCTGTTCCACAAATTTAGTGGGATACCATAACAACTAATCCAAACATTTCTCTCATGCTCCAACACTACCCTTGACTTCCATTTAGTAATATCATCACACTAGTCCAAGATCAACTCCTTTATTGGCTTCAGTTTCAATCCTATATCCTTTTTTGATTTGAATGTTATAACTACATCACGTCCTCCACTTTCTCTTACCATAATATCCTCAATACCTACTGATTGAAGCTCTTGTTTCAAGCTAATATTGGCATATTTGGCCTTCAAACGCACCACTACACTTTCATACAACCACCCATTTCCAATTTCCTCTACCTTCAACGTAATGTTTTCACCACCACTCCTTTGTCCTGTTATAACCACTGCATATGATCTTTGATCTGCAAATGGTTTTACTTCACTTCTTCCTACCCCACCTTGGACATTTAGACTCTTGGTTTGAGTACGCACTGGACCTTTTACAGCTTTATTATTTGCTTTTTCCTTACCAAAATTTGCATGCTTTACCTTTTATCATCCATCCATAGACAATTTGCTTTTTGAACTGCAATTATGGCAGCCGCAATACAATCAAACCTCGCAAAGCCAAATCTTATATTCGTAACCCTTCTTCTCTTATGTGGGATAAAGACATCCTTTACCACCCCAAACTTTGTAAAAAGATTGAAGAGGCTCTTTGGATTCACTGAGTTTAGTAGGTTGTCCACAAACACAGTGAAGACATTTATGCTTTCTTCCTTCTTTCATGTTCCTTGTCTCCCCCTTTGCCTCAGAACAGGTATCCATCCTCCTTGTTGGTCACCTTGTGACCTCCATCGTCCCTGTTGGGCACCATGTGACCTCCATTCACCTAATGACCTCTGGCCTCCTTGTTTCTCCATCCTTTTTAGTCGATGTATACTAAGGAGGTTTTTAGTGTCACATTATACTCGCTACATTGGAGTGTCACATTTAGGAAAAAAGTATACTAAAGAGTTTTTAATTTTTTGTAGTGTCATATCATACCTGCCACGTTAGAGTGTCACATGTCACGTTTGGGAAAAGTATATTGATGATTTTTTAATTTTTTTGGACTGTTACATTATACCCTCCACGTTGTCACATTTGAAAAAAGTATACTAATAAGTTTTTAGTTTTTTTAGAGTGTCACATTATACCTGCCACGTTGTCACATTTAGAAAGAGTACACTAATGAGTTTTTAGTTTTTTTAGTGTCACATCATACCCGCCACGTTGTCACATTTGAAAAAAGTACATTAAAGAGTTTTTAGTTTTTTTAGAGTGTCACATCATATCTGTCACGTCGTTACACTTGGGAAAAGTATGCTGAGGAATTTTTAATTTTTTTTGAGTAAAAGATTTAGAGTATCACATCATACCCGCAACGTTTTCACATTTGAGAAAAATACATGAAGGAATTTTTAATTTTTTTGGAGTGTCACATCATACCCGTCACATTAGAGTGTTATATTAATACCTGTCACATTAATAAAAGGGTATAGTCGTCCACCAAAATACTACCAAAATTGAAAATAGAACCATACGAAAAGAAACTCTCCACTAATATGACTTAACAGATCAATAGAAAAAACTTGAGACTAATTGGAGTAATTGTTTGTGAGATGAGACGTATTGGTAAATATCCCTACATTTTATACCCTTAAACTATCGCCAAGTTGTTTGTTTAGTTCCTGAATTATTGATTGTGTATACTATGTCCCTAAAGTATATAAATCAAAGTATATTTAGTCCTTAAATTATCGATTAAATCCATTAACTCCTATAAAGCATTTAATTTAAACTTGTTTAGTCTCTAAAAGGATTACAAAAATAAAATATAAGCTTATAAATATTATAAATTAGTAAGACTCTATCTAGTTAAAAAAATTGTTAATTTTTTATTCTGTATTTCAAAAGTGGGTGTCAATCCATATATTGAATTTCCTTTATAAGAACAAGCACAGTTTTTTTTGGCTCCACAAAACAAAGCCTTATTGACGAAAAAACACAATACATGTAAAATTTACATCAACAAAGCAGGAAAATACACAGAGCATCATAACTAACCTTAACAATCCTGACTAGGTTGGCACCGCAAAGGAAGCACAATCATTTGCTAGCACTTGACCCAAGATTGGTGAGAAACCAATCAAAAGCAACCAAAGAAAGAAAGAAAAAAAAGAACAGCAAAACAGGCAGCAATGCAACAATAGAGCAACATCAATAAATAATGAGCTACCAAACCAAACCAGCAGTAGTAACAAAACAGCAGCAGCAGTGCCTCTTCACCAACACCGACCCAAACTAGGGTCCAAGCAACATACCCCTCCATCCACAATTCTAAGACATAACAGATAGCGAACCAGACCTTCCCAACAGATTATGTACAAAACCACTGAAAGCTGCTGTTGTTGCTCCTACTAACCCAGGCACCTTCTAACCCAACACTCCAACTCAGCCACCATTCCTGATGCAGTACTGCATTTGTTGCAGATTCGACAAAATATCATTGACAGAGAACACCATAAAGGTTGGAGAGGCCTTGATCTACAATGCTACTCTCACTTTAACAAGGTCACACAGTTCATCCAAGTTTGGTTGAGTACCATTGACCTCACACTCATTCCGATGCTTCCAAGTAGACCAGAGAATAGCTAGGGGAAGAGCCATCCAAATTTTCTTTTCCAGCTTTTTCATTTTGCAACCAGACCACCACATCAGCAATCCATTCACAGAGCCAGGCAAGACTCACTAAAAACTCCACCATCTTACACTGTTAGACCAAAGCAGCTACACAAAAGGGCAGAAAAGCAGAACATGGCCCACTGATTCAACCTCATTATGACAAAAGACACAAGCAAGATTAACATTACCACCCAAAATACTAATTCTATGAAGAAAACTAGCAGTTTTAACCTTTTCAAGCTAGGCTAACCACCCAAAAAATTGCACTTTTGGTGGAGCACAATTGTTCCAAATTAATCCTGCCATGTCCAAAGCAGGCCCAAGACTAGCCTCACACCAATTGTAAACTGAAGAAATACCGAACAATCCTGAAAAATCTACAGCCCATAATAACCCATCAGGATTATAGATAAGGATAGTTATCTATAATATTTTCTTATTTATCTTCTACAATGAATACGTGCTTGCACTTATCTAGTATTATATGTCAGATTTCGTTTATAATTTTTATTTGGTTGTTTTTAGGTTTTTTGCTAAGTTCTTTTTATTGCTTAATTAATGTATTATTTTGTTCTATTACTATTTGTAGAGAAGTGTCATTATTTAAATTATCTAATTCTACTTCTTTAGTATATCTAATATTCATATAATTTATTAACAAGATTGAAAAATCAAATTCTAATATTAATTTAAACATACAACGAAATAATACACCTTTTAAAGACAAATTAAAAAATTAAAATATTTTTCTGTAATAAAATCTTAATTGGGGAGCGTCTTTTTTGCTAATTTATAATACGTATGGGCATATATTTTAGTTGTGTAATCATTTTAAGGATTAAATAGATTTGAATTAAATATTTTATGGACTAAATAGAGTTTGATTTATATACTTTAGGGACTAAATAGATTCAATTGATAATTCATGGACTAAATAGATAATTTGACCATAATTTAGAGGTAAAATGTATAATAAACTCTTTAAAAAATCAATCAAACCAAACAAGATGATTGATATTTGAATATTTCTATGTCTATACTTTACACGTCATCCTAACACATGCCGTGAAAATTTATAGCGAGAGCATTTTCGCTCAAACTTTCAAACGTTGATATGTTAAATTTTTTTAAAAGTTTAGGTGGCAAATTCACATATGTTAATTTGATATAGAAGTTCTTCACTTGATATGTAAAATAATTTTTTAAATTTGAACTCTTTTATTTTACATAAAGTTTTTTTATTTCAAAAAAATGTATGAAGTAGGAACATCTCAAAATTAGCATGAATGGGTAAATGCCAAATGCCACATTATCTTTTGGCACACTCAGTGGAGTTGATACTTAATGCCAAAATATGATCGTTGGAGTGTCACATCATTTGTTAAGTATCGGGTGGAGATACTCTAAAATATCACATCATATATATCATATATATAAAAATAGTGTTTTTCCCTTTCTTATGTGGTACATTCTAAAACTTTTTCTATTTATATATAAAGTTCTACACAAGCAGCCCATCCAAATCCCAACTAAGTTGGCACAAAGATGACCATCTCTACAATGTTATCTCTAGTCCAAGTTGGTGAGGCACCAACAAGAAAATAAAGAAAATAGTCGAAAAACCAAAAAATTACAAAAGACCAAACAATCAATGGATCAATTAACCCCTACCAATACACCTTCTAATCTGATTGAGATTGTGTATGAAGTCACAATCAGGATACTGCCACTCCCTAGATGTTGTTCTGAGCCAAAGAGCCACTGTATGTTTAATAAGATCAGAGAGAACCTCTACATCAGCTTCTGCATTATTGAATACACAGTTATTTCTTTGCTTCCATATAGACCAAAGGGTTACAAGAGGGACACTTCTCCAAATCACCTTCTCTTTCTTCTTAAACTTACCACTCTTCCTCCAATGTAACAAGAAATCAATTGTGCCAGGCATAGCCCAATACAGACCCCACCATGGTAACAGGGACGACCATACCTTCGATACAAAATGGCAATGTTTTTTTTCTCTTGTCTATACTTTGTTGATGTATGTTCTTCTTCATGTTTGAAAATCATCAATAAAGTCTTCTTTTCTTTGCTAATCAAAGAGGGAGAATCGTGGAATTGGTGAGGAAATGCATATAGTTGGGAGAGAGAACCTTGAAGAAGAAGAAGAAGAGGAAGATTTGTCGATAGAAGCAGAAACTGTTTGAAAATTGGACTTAATGGTAGACTTGAGAGATGATATTGATGTTTTGTTGATGAATTTGTTTCATCTGGAAGCCATCACAAGAGCTTCAAAGAAGCTTCCCAAGTTTTAGAGAACAAAAATGAGTGGTCTTGCTCTCTCGTAGCTTTCGCTCAAAAGCTTATGTAGTGAGGGAACTTAGGTAAATATATATATATATATATTGTGGACCTCTCCCATTATTAAAAGTAGGAGAGGGATGTTAGACTAATTTTTTTCTATAATTTAATATATATCATATAAGATTGGTATATGACAATTATACTTTTATAGCACAATAGAATTAAAAATTTTAAAATAAATAAATAATTTAACTAAATTTATTATATATAAAGTATTCAAGTAATACTTTTATAGAATGATAAGGGTAAAATTGTTAAAATAAATAATTAAAATTAATATTATTTTTTTTTTGTAGCGCATATCATAATATAAAATATCATTACATATTAAGAATATCTAATAAAATCAACAATATCTAATCCAACACATATATAAATTAACAATATTTATTTTATTTAGAAATTGGAAAATTTATATATAAAAAAAAAAAGAAAAGAAAAAAGCGGTTAAGTGATAAAAAAGAGCTTTGTTTGGTTTTTTTAGTCTATCCATAAGAGGAGATCATACGAAAAACATAACCAATTCTTTTGTTTCTTTGGACTACTGGCCATCCTTCGGGAGTACTGGGTTTAATATCGATATTTTAGTCACAAATCCAATAAATCTAAAGTGTAGTACTTGGTGGTGTATTGGTCTTTTATGAAAAAAGGGATGTATGCGATTTGTTTATTTCAAAAATAGACTGGATCCAACTAGCTATACTTTTTTCCCTTTATAACTAGAAAAGAAAATGTACAATATCTCACGAATTACTTTTGAATAAGTTCAAAAATTATATGCAAGAACTATAGCATTTTGTGATTCTTGAAAATTATATGAAAAATAAGTATTTCTCAAATCATAATATAAAATATTATATCCAACACATATCATAATACAAAATATCATTACATTAAATTAGTTTAATAAAATTAACAATATCTAGTCCAACACTTAATATATGATGATAATAAAATATCATATCCAACACATAATATATATTATATTAAATTATCTCAGTAAAATTAAAATATATATGTGTTGGATTATATATTAATTGTTAATTTTATTGAGATAATTTTGATTGGTTCAGTCAGTTGTCCTTGAATTCTGAGTTCTGTTCTTATGCACGTGAGGGAAGTAAGGCTCCTATGGAGAGGGAAGTATAGAAATGGAAGAAAATAGAGGCTTTCTCATATTTCAATTTTAAATTTTGTTCTTATGCACGTGAGAGTTTCGAGTATTGCATGTCATATATGAGCAACTCAATTATCTCGTCAAGGCACTCTTGGTGACTTTGTGTATATAATTTTTTTTTTTTTTTTTTGATAGTCAAAAGGGAACTTTATTGATGAAGAAACATGTATATAAAAAAACAATCCTAGGTAGACTTTGCAATGCCAATTATGTTTGCACCACAACCAAACCAAACAATAAAAAAACACACAAAACTAATTCAATAAACCAAGCACCTAACCACTCCCTCGATCTCACCTGTTCGAGATTGAAAACAAAGTCATGCACTGTGTAATGCAATCCTACTAGACACTCTTAGAAATTGTCTTGAGAAAAGCTTGGATAGAATCCTTTTCTTAGAAATGAGAAAAAACTGATGCTGAAATTTTCATTTCAAATAAATTTGTGAAATATTTTAAGGTTGTATTTGAATCAAATATTTGATGCAATTAAAATTATAAAGACTAAATCAACACAAAAAATAAACTATAGAGACTATAGGTACAATTTATCTAAAAATATTGACACAAGAAACAAACTTCTGACTATTATATAATTTGTCTAAAAAATTATCTTATATTTCATTCACTAATTGCTACATTAAAAGGAAGTTTATAAAATCAGCTTTTAAGTTATTATAGATTAGAAACAGTTGGGATATATGAACAAAACAAAAAGGGAAATAAGAATATTAATGTCCTACATGTACATATAACGTTTGTTGCATAATCTATGTAGAAGGTGAAAAAAAATGCTGAAATTATCTAGTGATATATAATAGTTCTCAAACAAAAATGAGTCAGGAAAAATATTTAACAAGTCAGTCCTTCCCAACAATGCACATTCTAAAATGATATAAAACTAAAAAACAGAAAAGTAATTAAAACACACAAAATGCTATGAAGTAAAACTGAAGGATGTTTTCAATTCTCATTACCTTAGAAGGAATTGACAAACTCAGTTTGTAAGTTTTCTAAAAACTAGAAGCAGTTAGGACATGAAACCAAACCCAAAAAAAAAAAAAAAAAACAAAAGCAGAAAAGTGTCCAACTACTAAAATAAAATCCTTTTATATGTAATAATACCTATTCAAGGCCAAAAATCGGTTAGGATCTACTGTTACTTCAGAAATTAAAAAACCAAAATATGAAAACAATTCAATTCAATTCAGAGAAAATCGACAACATGGCAAGAAAGAACTGTAAAAATCTTACAAGTGAGACCCTCAATCAATCTCATAGAGAAATCATGTTCATATATATATAGTTAATACAACAACAATTGAGTAAAATCAACAAAATCTGAATAGGTCTGAATGGTTCATCTCTCATGATCTCCACACCAACACCAATTTCACTCAAGAGCCTAGCATTGATTGGCTGATCAAGGTGCATAGGCACAGATATTATAGGGACTCCAAACTTGATCCCCTCCATTACTGAGCTCCACCCACAGTGGCTCACAAAGCCACCAACGTTTGGATGCTCCAAAATTTTTACTTGTGGGGCCCACCCTTGGATGACCAATCCTCTCCCCCCTACCCTCTCAAGAAACCCTTTTGGGAGTGCCTCCTCAACCCTAGTTGTTTGTCCCACTGGAAACCTAACAACCCATATGAAATTGACATTGCTAAGTTCTAACCCATGAGCCATCTCTTCCATCTCTACCTTGGTGAGAAAATACTCACTTCCAAAGGAAACAAACACGGTTGAGCCTCGGTCCTTCTTGTTGAGCCACTCGGTGATGTGCAAGTGCTCGTCGTCATTGACAGAGGCTTGGACAAGTGAACCAACCGGTACAATTTTCTTTTCAGCTAAAAGGGAGAGGTGATCGATGTATTTTCCTTCAATCTCTCTCGAACTCTTGATCAAAATTATGCTCGATGATTCTTTAAGGGTTTCAAAGAAGCGGTTTTTCTCTTTATAGTAATTTTCAGAAGATTGAATCAAATGAATGAACTTATCCTCCTCATAAGCATTAAGATGTATCTCCGGAAAAGGGAAGTCCGTACCTGGATTGTTTTTTTGATTGACAAAATTTTTTTTATTAACTCAGAAAAAAAGTACTTTTCACTATTAAAACAACATTTCTCAACTAGATTCACATATACTCATAGCGAATAACAAAGTCTGTACCTGGATTGTCGTAGTGATGAAACATGTAGGAAGTCATTGTAGCGCTGGTGCTTATGAAAACCACAGCCGGGATATCATGCTTAGAAGCGATAATCGGGGCCCATGGTTGAATAGTATCATAGATAAGGAGGTCTGGTTTTAGGGTTTTTAGCATTTTGGAGAAGTTGTGGCGTGACCAATCAAAGGCCTTTTTGAGGGTAGGCATGAGATGGGGTGGGAGGTTCTTGGTTGTGTGGCAATTTGGAGGAAGACTAGGCAAGGTCGGAACATGGAGTTCCACTAGTTGTATGGAATTTGCATCCTTCTCTGTGAGTCTTCTCTTAATGCAACTAAGATTCACCGCTGATGAACACAAGTATACCATGAAGTTTCTGCTTGAAAGTGTCTTGGCTAGCTCTAGGAAAGGTGAGATGTGTCCATGTGCTAGCCATGGGAACATGAAAACTTTGATCTTTCTCTGCTCACACGCCATTAACTCTCTCTCTTTCTCTCTCTCTGAATGCTCTCTCTCTCTCTCTTCTAGGTGTGTACATCTTGATCCATATTGTTAGATATATAGCAACTGTTACAGGGCTAAAATGGAAAATATGGAGGGATTAAATAATTCATTAAGTGTGAATAAAAGGGGAAAAAAGAAAAGAAAAGAAGGAAAGAATAAAAATCATGAACAAAGATATATAATAGATTGGTAAAGAGGACAATACAGATTTGATTAAAGTGAGGCGCCCGGCAAAGGATAACAACCTTCTCTTCCATGTGGACAATTTCTGTTTGAACTTGTCAAGAACGGGTTTCCAAGTGCTCCTCCTGCTAGGATTTGCCCCCAAAGGTAGTCCCAAATACTTGAGAGGCAACTTTTGGTGAAGACAATTTAAAGAGAAGGCAAACTCCTGCACTAAATCCTCATCCACCCCCACCCCACTGATGACACTCTTGTGGTAGTTAATTTTCAGACCCGAAACAATCTCAAAACATCTTAGAATTCTTTTAATATTGGTCACCTCCACCCTATTTGCATCACAAAACATAATTGTGTCATCCGCGAATTGCAAATGAGTGACTCTAAGGCCATTAGACCCCACTTCGGCCCCTTTAATTAGGCCCAACTCCTTAGCTCTACTTAGTAAGATATTGAGGCCCTCTGCTACAATGTTGAATAAGAATGGTGACAACGGATCTCCTTGTCTGAGACCTCTTTGTGGACAGAACTCAGATGTTGGTGACCCATTTACTAGGACAGAGATCTTGGCAGAGGAAACACAAGCTTTCATCCATCTAACCCACCTAGAACCAAAGCCAAACTTTGACAACATATCAAATAAAAATTCCCAATTAATCGAGTCATAGGCCTTTTCAAAATCCAACTTAAGCACCAAACCTTTCCGGTTAGATCTCTTCCACCCATCCACTACTTCATTAGCTATCAGAATTCCATCTAAAATGTTCTTTCCCCCCAAAAAAGCTGACTGGGCCTCACCAATAATATTGGGCATCACCTTTTTCAATCTGTTAGCTAACACCTTAGCTAAGATTTTGTACAAAGATCCAATCAAGCTAATAGGCCTATATTCATTCAAGCAAGAAGGGCTTGAAACTTTTGGAATTAGGGCAATAAAAGAGCTATTAATTCCACCAACCAGACTAGCATTCTGATGGAACTCCCTCATAAACTGTAGCACATCAACCCGCACTATTTGCCAACATTTCTTAAAGAAGGACATGTTGAACCCATCAGGCCCAGGAGCCTTATTACCATCACAACATTTGATAGCATTCCGGATCTCCTCCTCTGTAAAACCTGCCTCCAATTGTGCCACAATTTGAGCTCCTCCTATACTCTTAAAAGGGCCAGACAATTTGGGGCGGACTTTCCAATCTTCCGAAAATAGCCTCATAAAATGAACTTGAACTACATCCCTTATTTCCGAATAGATCCCAGTTAGGACATGAAACCAAACCCAAAAAAAAAAACACAAAAAAACAAAAGCAGTTAGAACAAAATTTTAACTGCAATATGAGCTCATAGTAAGTCCATAGCAACATGCCTCTAGTTGAGGGGAAAATGAACATGTCAAAGTCATCTCAGCCCCACATTATGTAACTATAGCAGACAGACCATTCAATTGCCTCTTCTTCCTCTTCTTACAAAGCTTCACCAACTCCTCCACCACCCCATCCACCACCTCCTTCTCTCTCGTCCTTATTTCATCACTCAATTCTCTCTCTTTCTTCTTCACAGCCTCACCACTTTTCTCCATCGCAACCTGTTTGATCACTTTAGCCACTTCTTCTCTTAAAATCTTCCCATTCTCATCTCTCATGATCTCCACACCAACACCAATTTCAGTCAAGAGCGTAGCATTGATTGGCTGATCAAGGTGCATGGGCACAGATATTATAGGGACTCCAAACTTGATCCCCTCCATTACTGAGCTCCACCCACAGTGGCTCACAAAGCCACCAACATTTGGATGCTCCAAAATTTTTACTTGTGGGGCCCACCCTTGGATGACCCTTTTGGGAGTGCCTCCTCAACCCTAGTTTTTTGTCCCACTAGAAACCTAACAACCCATATGAAATTGACATTGCTAAGTTCTAACCCATGAGCCATCTCTTCCATCTCTACCTTGGTGAGCAAATACTCACTTCCAAAGGAAACAAACATGGTCAAGCCTCTGTCCTTCTTGTTGAGCCACTCGGTGATGTGCAAGTGCTCGTCGTCATTGACAAAGGCTTGGACAAGTGGACCAACTGGTACAATTTTCTTTCCAGCTAAAAAGGAGAGGTGGTCGATATATTTTCCTTCAATCTCTCTCGAACTCTTGATCAAAATTATGCTCGATGATTCTTTAAGGATTTCAAAGAAGCGGTTTTTCTCTTTATAGTAATTTTCAGAAGATTGAATCAAATGAATGAACTTATCATCCTCATAATCATTAAGATGTATCTCTGGAAAAGGGAAGTCCGTACCTGGATCGTTTTTTTGATTGACAAAAAAGATTTTATTAACTCAGAAAAAAAGTACTTTTCACTATTAAAACATCATTTCTTAACTAAATTTACGCATGCTTATAGCGAATAACAAAGTCTGTACCTGGATTGTTGTAGCGATCAAACATGTAAGAAGTCATTGTAGCGCTGGTGCTTATGAAAACCACAGCCGGGATATCATGCTTAGAAGCGATAATCGGGGCCCATGGTTGAATAGTATCATAGATAAGGAGGTCTGGTTTTAGGGTTTTTAGCATTTTGGAGAAGTTGTGGCGTGACCAATCAAAGGCCTTTTTGAGGGTAGGCATGAGATGGGGTGGGAGGTTCTTGGTTGTGTGGCAATTTGGAGGAAGACCAGGCAAGGTCGGAACATGGAGTTCCACTAGTTGTATGGAATTTGCATCCTTCTCTGTGAGTCTTCTCTTAATGCAACTAAGATTCACCGCTGTTGAACACAAGTATACCATGAAGTTTCTGCTTGAAAGTGTCTTGGCTAGCTCTAGGAAAGGTGAGATGTGTCCATGTGCTAGCCATGGGAACATGAAAACTTTGATCTTTCTCTGCTCACACGCCATTAACTCTCTCTCTTTCTCTTTCTCTGAATGCTCTCTCTCTCTCTCTTCTAGGTGTGTACATCTTGATCCATATTGTTAGATATATAGCAACTGTTACAGGACTAAAATGGAAAATATGGAGGGATTAAATAATTCATTAAGTGTGAATAAAAGCGGAAAAAAGAAAAGAAAAGAAGGAAAGAATAAAAATCATTGGGAATATATTGCAACTGTAGTGATGTATTTTTTATTTAGAATGATTTTATGTTCACTGATTATGGAAACATATAATACTATAGGGGAATGGCTGAATAAACACCATCTCGAGTTCGTTTAGGACATAATGATCTCTAACCTTTAAGCTAACAATGTGATGTATTTGAAGTTACAACTCAACACATTATGTCAGTGAATCAAAACTCACTAGTTAAGTTGTAACTTTGAGGACTTAAGAGTTGTAATTTTGAGCACATCCCATTGTAATAAGAGCGGGAAGCAAAATCGGTAGTGTGCACCCCTTTTGGTTATGATATGATCATACAATCATTTGACATGTACTCATAGTTTATAGAATCTTGTTGAACAAATTAGCCAACTGAATTTCTCCTTCATCTTTAATAGGAATTTCATAGAGTTCTACAACTTTTCCTGTCTTTTTATTTTTCAAAGCCTTATTTAGCTCTTCTAACCACCTCTATTGTTTCTTAAATTAAACTCATTTCCCTTCACCAGCACTTTCTCATCCTCCGCTTTCATGCACTTAACATTGTTAAGTCCACCCCTTTCTTTCTCTTATCCTTGCCCATTTTTATATTTCTTCTTCTTCCTCTTTTATTTTTTTATTTTATTTTATTTTATTTTATTTTATTTTGGATCTCTTGTTTAACTTAAAATATAGGTCAGTGCAACCCTTATATTTAGTTTGAACAGCCTTCCTAATCTCTTTATTAGCTTTGTTTTAGCTAATTAATACTGTCTGGAACTTTAATTTATTTTTACATAACACCCCCACCTATTTTAGTAAACTATTTTAGTTTTTGACTAATTTAATAGGCTAAAATATTTATATTTGGGAAGAATGTTGGATTTTTTTATAGTTGAATGTGATGTTTATGAGAGAAAAAATGAGATGATTATGAGTTTGATGTGACATTTTATCTTATTAGCTATTTTAGCTTATTTTATTTTTTTGTGCGGATTTTAGCCCCAAAAAACCAATTTTTGGCTTCCCAAACACCCCAAAAAGGGTAAACTATTAATAGGTTCTAATAGTTGCACTTAATTTCCATCAAATCCTATTAAAAATAAGTCTTAATAAAATCGTCACTAAAAATAATTTTTGATGAACTTACATGTAAGTTCTAATAGGTAGGCTTATTGTCCAATAGATCATGTGAGAATTAATGATATTTTTCATCGAACACTATTTAAAAACATTACTAATTGTTAATTTTTAGTGACAGTTTGAAAATTGCCACAAAATTATTACTAATTATAAGTTTTAGTGATGGTTTAAAAAAATTGTCACAAAAAATTAACTAATTTTTAACTTTCAGTGACAATTTGAAAAATTCATCATTGAAAAACGTCACTAATTGTAAGTTTTAGCAATAATTTATAAAAATCTTAACCAAAAAAATCATTAATTGTCAATTTTTAACGACATATGTAAAAAATCGTAACTAAAAATTATTTTTAGCAATGATTTACTAATAAGTCTTATTTTTAATAAGACTTGATAGAAATTAAGTCTAACTTTTAGGACCTTATTGGTAATTTAGCCATAATTTTTTATGACAATTTTTGCACATGTCACTAAAAAAATTCCAATTAGTGACATTTTTTTTTCACGATTTTTATGAATTGTTGCGAAAACTTACAATTAGTAACTTCTTTTGTGATAACATTTTTAAACTGTAGCTAAAAGTTAAAAATTAGTAATTTTTTTTTGTAACAATTTTTTTAAACAGTCGCTAAAACTTATAATTAATGATATTTTTTGTGATAAAATTTTTAAACTGTTGCTGAAAATTAACAATTAATGACATTTTTTAATAGTGTTTGGTGAAAAACGCTATTAATTATCATATGACCTATTAGACAATAAATGCACAATTAGTCCACCTAGTAGTACCTACACATAACCCTTCCTCATAAAAAAGTAAAAATTAAAAATATTCATCTCCTAACTTCTTAAGAATTAATTTTTAAAATTATTTTTGCCTCATAAATTGTCAACTGAAATTGTGACAATCTTCTATTACAAACTTCCAAAATAAAATAAAAAATTACAAAGAACTTTATAAACTACACCAAAGTTTAAATTATGACACCATGCACTTAAGTTTGAGATAATGTCTCATAACTCCAATAACATTTGAGATAATGTTTCATAACTCCAATAACTCTTAAGTAAGTTGCAATTCGATTTAATTGGGTTATAATTTCAAAGAGACTGTGTCATAACTTAAGATCTATTACAATGTAATTGGAGAAGGTAAACATTCTTTAATAATAATAATAATAAAAAAAAATCTATTTATATATAAAATTTTACAAGAATATATGACAATGACATTATTATTACAAATAAATTTATCTTTAATAGTGTGCTATTTTGAAGTGAAATGAACCACACCATCATTATATATGAATTTTTTTGTTTGTATAGCTGCATATAATTTTATTTGTATTATACATATATATATATATATATATATTATTTTTAAAAGTAAATAAATAAGTCCTAAAAGTTATATACATATAATTTGCGCCATCACATCACCTAGAAGCCACCTAGAAGAATCATAACAAGATGCAATCTCATTAATTATGATGAAAGATAGCAGCATCTAACGGTCACTATATGGCCAAATAAAAATAATGATTTTAAAATTTAATAACCGTTGCATCATAAAGAATTAGGAAGTCAAAGTGTATCAAAAACAAGTAACCGTCACTAACATGTAACCGTCCCTAACAGTTTCTCCAATTCCACTTGATCAATCAATATCAAAGTGAATTGTCGTGGATAGAGGGGCTCAATTTATGCAGGAATTATTCTATCTTTTAGAAACTTTAATTAAGTTGTATGCCCTTTCAATTCTATTAATTATTTTATGCAATATATAAGGAAAAAAAAAATAGAAAATAGTAAGTATGTAATCAATAAAATTGTAAGGGACCACGTAGAATATGGGGTAAACCCATGTGATAATTTTTTCAACTAATGGCAAGTTTACTATAAATACTTTTTTTTTTTTTTTTTTTCATGCAAAGCCAATAAATTTCTATATCTTAGCTAAGCAATGAAAATGTACCAAGAACAGAATGGAAGGATGTCCACCATTTGGATAACTTTCCTACTTCTAGTTAAAGAAGTTCTACGAATTTAGAAAAAAGAATCATAAATCTATTCAAAATTGACATGACCCATAATAACAATTTTAAATGTACTTTCTATTTTTTTGAATCATTTTCTAATTTGTTTTATGGGTTAATAGAGTTTCTGTTTTAGTTATTACCATAAATTTTTTTATTTGAGTTATTTCCATCATTGACCATCAAATCTTTGTGGGCTGGTCACGATCCAGTATGGTTTTATGGATCATGGGGGCTTATTTTAGTAATCTGATTTATTGATTTTTAATGTTTCCGCGGATAGATTATTCATAAAAGTAAAAATAGAACATTAAATTAATTCAATAACTGTAGTATATGATTTTATCACATTTGTTTTTATTTATTATTTTTTAAAATTAATCTGATAATTGTAATTTGTAACCACATTAATTCATTCCACTTTGTGCATAAACTGTTATGTTTTATTAAGTTATTGCTTTTCACTCTTCTCTTTATTCAGTTAATGGCATAGATAGTGAGAGACGAAATAGAAACATGGACAGTATTTGTAACGTCTTGCCTCATATATTGCCTTGATCAAACTCGCATAAACTTTTGTAATTTCTACATTTTTAACAGCAAATATATGTATATATATAGTTGGGGTGATTAGTGTGTTCAGTCACTTTTTATTTATTTATTTACTTTTATAATGTTTTTTTGATGATGTGTGTTTAATAACTTTGAACACATTAAATATGTTATCCAATAAAATATACTTAAAACCATGAATCAAGTATAAAAAAACATATTATAACGGTTGTTATTAATTAAGAGATAGATTTTATAACAGTTCTTGTGAAACTGTTGTAACTGTTGAAAAATAATGATTTTTTTGGCAATTTTAATTTGAAATTGAAGTGGGACCCAACCATCGGTTGAAGTGGATCTGAGTGGTTTTGTATTATCTTAAGTTGAGAAGATTGTAATACACAAAAAATAAGCCGAAACTATTGAGTTATGAATAAGAATTGTATCATAAAGTGGGTATCAATAAAATTGGGCTTAAATTTAGACTTAGTCTTAGTTTGGACTGGGCCTAGGCTTGTGCTTGCGCATATGCTGGGTTTGGTCTTGGACTTAGACTTGGACTTAATCTCGAGCTTGGGCTAAGCTATGTTGTGTTAGGCTTAGTTTGTGCATATGTTTGAGAATTGGGCTTGGATCGGATTGTAACCTAACATTAATATCCATTTACTGACTCACTTAGTTGGTTTCTTTAACCATCATTATATACATATTTATTTGTATATTTTAAGTACATGGAATGTTTAAATCTTTATAACTCTCATCTTTTGATGATAGTGTTAATGACCATATTAGTAGTCATAGGTTTTCAACCTTTGTAACTCCTCTCATCTTTTGATGATAGAGTTAATGACCATATTAGTAGTCATAGGTTTTCAACCTTTGTAACTCTAGCCCTAATAGCTAGAGTTGATGGCCTTGGTTAATGACATTTGATGGCCCTATTGATGTATAGCCTTCATGGGTGGCTAGGGATTCCTCCACTGCTGGAAAATTCACATTTAGCAGCATTTAAAAAGCTCCACTATAGGTGCAAAAAATGTCGCCAATTCTTTTTGTGACGTTTAGTACCAAACGCCGACAACGTAGCCATCGCTATAGCTTTACGACGTTTGAAAAACGTCATTATATTAGTAGTATAGGCGGCGTTTGCAGTTTTAAAAACGCCGCCAAATGTCCTACCCTAACGGTACTATGACATCACTATGGTTTTAGTGGCGTTTTTAAAACACCGTCATATCTATTTTTATTTTAAAAAAATCTGTACAATGGTGGCGTTTTTAAAAAAGCCGTGATATCTTTTTTTTCTTTTTATTTTTAAATTGTGTTAATTTTATGTGATTAAACTAAAAAAATACCTATAATAAAACTGAAAAATAGCACTAATATGAAATAATAACTCCCATTCAAATAGCAAATGCAACATTAATTCACTTTCCCATTCAATTTAATATCCATTTGCCATTAACCACAAAATAACATATCTACAAATCATATTTTAGCAAAGACATTAGCAGAGAAAGAAGTGTTGAGCTATAATGATGGATTCAACTGTACAAGAGATAGCAAATTACCATGAAGAAAATTATCCCCAGCTCAAGATATCACCAGAGTAAGAGACTCTATTAAACTTTACTTGATTATGTTTCAAATTTTTTTTCTTGCTTATAACATAAATTTCAAGCTTGGATGAGTTAAATTCAAATTGATGAGAGAGTTCATTGTTAGTCTTCGCTGGTCTACATGACTATATCAGAACAAAAACTGCAATCAGATTCATCAAAATAAACATAAATTGAAGAATTTGTACCCAATACTTATGCACAGTACTTAAAACTTGAAGAAACACTAACAAAAAGATTTTATGTACACTGTTTCAAGGTCAAGACACTCCAGACCACTCCGGTTTAAAACCTGAAATCAAGAAGTCGGTTACAAATATTGATAGGATGAAGGTAACATCAGAAACAACCAGTCTATTCAAATTATAAGAGCATATCGTACATTCACCAAACCAAACCCTCTTTGGTGCAAGCTTGTATGGTCCTTAATACGTCCATCAAAGAAAATTAGTATTACAGAAAATCAGTTCAAAGGGCACTTCATAAATTTCATACTCTAGAAACCACCCACACCTGCTCAAACATCATCCACCACCTCCTCTTCCTATGTGGATAGAGTTGGCAACCTTTAAGAGGCTAAAAACAAAAAGCTATATCTAAAACAAGGGGAATCTGCAGAACTAAACAAACAAAACCATCATCTGCTAAACAAGGCAATGAGCCACTGCAAACTAGAAGATTAGTTGGTCTAAATAATCTCAAACATCAATCAAATGAATGCTAGAATGAAATCAAAAGATTTAACATGAAGTTTTGAATAATGTCCTAACGCCCATATGATAACAGATTTAACATGAAGTTCTGAATAATGTCCTAATGCTCATATGATAACCATAAAACAAGAAAACTAAATATTAGTTGATCTGAACTTCCTAATAAACAAAGCTCCAGAATTTCCTTTCAGCACCTGGATTTGGGAGGATGGTTTTCTTTACCAATTGGTTCTTGTCTAAACTTTCACCTTTCATTTCTGCTTTGTTCTGGAAAGTTGACGTCATTTCTGCTCCTGTGAAAATTTTGTTCTAATTATATTCTTGTTGAACGTGTTGCAAATTGTGTTACTATCCTTTATCATTATAATACTGCAACGCCCTCAAAATAATAACATTAAACCAACATTTTAGACATGCATTGATACAAAAGAAATCGTCCATTTCTATTCATCCGAGTAATTCTTACAACTGTATTACATGTTAACAACAAAAGGAAATGCCCTAAGGGCTTACAGCTTTCCAAGTTAACACTTGGTTACAAAAATGAGAGTACTAACTCAATACATATTAAGCCCTTGGCTTGAATTTACATGTAATACATCAAAATAAACAAAAGAAAGAGTCTTCAACTCTCATCATCATCCAAGCTATGTCCTTGGGGGTGGCATACTACCTGTACCTGAAAATAATGTCCCATAAAGGGTGAGCCAACGCCCAGTAGATCTAACACCTTGTTTCTAGATCAACTCACCACCAATAGGCGATACTACACATATAGGAGATGCTAACTGTGCCAACTCCAATTCCAAAACAGATGCAAATGAAGCAGACACAAAAGAATGAGATGCACCCGTGTCAATCAACACACTAGCAACCGAGTTGCAAAACAGAAAAGTACCTCTCACTACTGATGGAGCCGGTACTAGGTCCTGCGCGATAATGGGAGGAGATAGTGGATGTACTCCACGGTTTAGGGGAAGATAGGGGATGGACCTCTAAAACCGGATGTTGCTGGAGGAAGATAGGGGATGGACTCCACTGATACAGCTCATATGCTTGTCAGATAATGTGTTGATACAGCTTCATATGCTTATCTCTAGAAGTGTTGAACAACTCATATGCTTGTCATTGGAAGTGTTGATATAGCTAATATGCATATCTGTTGAAATGCTGGATACAGCTTGTATGCTTATCTGTTGAGATGTTGATACAACTATATGTTTATCTATTGTAAAATGGAAAATGTTTAATTGAGTCATTGTCTCATATAAGTGGTTTGGCCAGGTCCTGAGCCATTGATGTAAATTGTGAAATTGATAAGAAATGGAAAACTGAAATGAAACATGAACATGAGTGATCATGAAGTGGAAATGGATTACGAATTGGTTTATTGAAAGTTGAAATTTATCAATTGCTAATGTCTTAGTCATTGCTCATACTGTGTTTAGCATATCTCTTACTGGGCGTTGACTCACCCTTTTATGGGACATTATTTTCAGGAACAGGTAGTATGCCACCCCCAAGGACATAGCTTGGATGATGATGAGAGTTGAAGACTTTTCTTTTGTTTATTTTGATGTAGTACATGTAAATTCAGCCAAGGCTTAATATGTATTGAGTTAGTACTCTCATTTTTGTTAACCAAGTTTGTACTTGGAAAGCTGTAAGCCCTTAGGGCATTTCCTTTTGTTGTTAACATGTAATACAGTTGTAAGATTACTCGGATGAATAGAAATGGACGATTTCTTTTTGTATCAATGCATGTCTAAAATGTTGGTTTAATGTTATTATTTTGAGGGCGTTGCAGTATTATAATGATAAAAGGATAGTAACACAATATTGCAACACGTTCAACAAGAATATAATTAGAACAAAATTTTCACGAGGAGCAGAAATGAAAGTCAACTTTTCTAGAACAAAGCGGAAATGAAAGGTGAAAGTTTAGACAAGAACCAATTGGTAAGAAAACCATCCTCCCAAATCCAGGTGCTGAAAGGAAATTTCTGGAGCTTTGTTTATTAGGAGTTCAGATCAAACTATATTTAGTTTTTTTTGTTTTATGGTTATCATATGAGCATTAGGACATTATTTAGAACTTCATGTTAAATCTGTTATCATATGGGCGTTAGACATTATTCAAAACTTCATGTTAAATCTTTTGATTTCATTCTAGCATTCATTTTTTGATTGTTTGAGATTATTTAGACCAACTAATCTTCTAGTTTGCAGTGGTCATTGCCTTGTTTAGCAGATGATGGTTTTGTTTGTTTAGTTCTGCAGATTCCCCTTGTTTTAGATATAGCTTTTTGTTTTTTTTAGCCTCTTAAAGGTTGCCAACTCTATCCACATAGGAAGAGGAGTGGTGGATGATGTTTGAGCAGGTGTGGGTGGTTTCTAGAGTATGAAATTTATGAAGTGCCCTATTGAACTGATTTTCTGTAATACTAATTTTCTTTGATGGACGTATTAAAGACCAATACAAGCTTGCCACCAAAGAGGGTTTGGTTTGGTGAATGTACGATATGCTCTTATAATAATTTGAATAGACTGGTTGTTTCTGATGTTACCTTCATCCTATCAATATTTGTAACCGACTCTTGATTTCAGTTTTAAACCGGAGTGGTCTGGAGTGTCTTGACCTTGAAACAGTGTACATAAAATCTTTTTGTTAGTGTTTCTTCAAGTTTTAAGTACTGTGCATAAGTATTGGTACAAAATATCATTCAAATATAGTTTATTTGATGAATCTGATTGCAGTTTTGTTCTGATATTGTCATGTAGACCAGCGGAAGACTAACAATGAACTCTCTCATCAATTTGAATTTAACTCATCCAAGCTTGAAATTTATTATAGCAAGAAAAAAAATTTGAAACATAATCAAGTAAAGTTTAATAGAGTCTCTTACTCTGGTGATATCTGAGCTGGGGATAATTTTCTTCATAGTGTAATTTGCTATCTCTTGTACAGATTGAATCCATCATTATAGCTCAAACTTCTTTCTCTGCTAATGTCTTTGCTAAAATATGATTTGTAGATATGTTATTTTGTGTGTTAATGGCAAATGGATATTAAATTGAATGGGAAAGTGAGAATTATGTTGCATTTGCATATTTGAATGGAGTTATTTATTTCATTATTAGTGCTATTTTTTCAGTTTTATATATGGTATTTTTTTTAGTTTTTAATCACATAAATTAACACAATTTAAAAATAAAAAGAAAAAAAAGATATCACGCGCTTTTTTAAAAACGCCACAATTGTACAGATTTTTTTAAAATAAAAATAGATATGACGGTGTTTTAAAAACGCCACTAAAACCATAGTGATGTCATAGTACGTTAGGTAGGACATTTTTGCGGCGTTTTTAAAACTGCAAACACCCGCCTATACTACTAATATAATGACATTTTTCAAACGTCGTTAAAGCTATAGCGATGGCTACGTTGTCGGCGTTTGGTACTAAACGTCACAAAAAAGAATTGGCGACATTTTTTTGCACCTATAGTGGAGCTTTTAAATGACTTGGTAAATGTGAATTTCCAGCAGTGGAGGAATCCCTAGCCACCCATGAAGGCTATACTTCAATAGGGCCATCAATGTCATTAACCAAGGCCATCAACTCTAGCTATTAGGGCTAGAGTTACAAAGTTGAAAACCTATGACTATAATAATGGTCATTAACTCTATCATCAAAAGAATGAGAGGAGTTACCAAAGTTGAAACCTATGACTACTAATATGGTCATTAAACACTATATCAAAAGATGAGAGTTATAAAGATTTAAAATTCCACTGTACTTAAAATTATACAAATAAATATGTATATAATGATGGTTAAGAACCAACTAAGTGAGTCAGTAAATGGATATTAATGTTAGGTTACATCGCTCCAACAGCCCAATTCTCAAACATATGCACAAACTAAGCCTAACACAACATAGCTTAGCCCAAGCTCGAGATTAAGTCCAAGTCTAAGTCCAAACCAAACCCAGCATATGCGCAAGCACAGCTAGCCCAGTCCAAACTAAGACTAAGTCTAAATTAAGCCCAATTTTATTGATACCCACTTTATGAGACAATCTTATTCATAACTCAATAGTTTTCGGCTTATTTTTTGTGTATTACAATCTTCTCAACTTAAGAAATACAAAACCACTTCAGATCCACTTCAACCGATGGTTGGGTCCCACTTTATTTTTCAATATGTTACAACTGTTTCACAAGAACTGTATAAAAATCTATCTCTTAATTAATAACAACCATTATAATATTGTTTTTTATACTTGATTCATGGTTTTAAGTATATTTTATTGGATAACATAATTTAATATGTTCAAAGTTATTAAACACACCATCATCAAAAAAACATTATAAAAGTTAAATAAATAAATAAAAAGTGACTGAAAACACACTAATCACCCCAACTATACTATATACATATACATATATTTGCTTGTTAAAAATGTAGAAATTACAAAAGTTTATGCGAGTTTGACAAGGCAATAATAATGAGGCAAGACGTTACAAACTCATGTTCATAGCATCGTCTTAATAGATACTACTATATAGTGGAGGTTATATCTGCGTTTAGATTAGAGGGTGATGGACATATTTTAGTCTATCTTTTGAATAATATATCAGTAGAAGGATAGAAGAGACTACACGGTAGTGTGTTAATATATATTCTTCACTCCT